AATTGTTAAAATAGTGGTCTAACAGATTGTTTTTCATTAACTTCTTGAAATGGCGGAGAGATCTTGCTTCTTTGATATTTTCATCCAGGCCATTCCAAAGATTAACAGCCCTGTAGTGAAAGGAACGTTGTCCAGTGGCGGTTCGGTTGAAAGGGATTTGCAGCGTATCTTGGTTTCTCGTGAGTCTGCTGTGTATCGAAGATCGTTTCGAAAATTTTTCGCTTAAATATTGTGGGACAAGTGAGTTCATGCATTTGTACGTCATAATTGAGTCTCTGAGAATAAGTTGTTCTTTGACAGGTAGCCAACTAATCTGACGTAGCGCAGGAGTGATGTGGTCAAACTTTCTAGTGTTTGTAATAATCCTGCATGCAAAGTTCTGTACTGCTTGGAGCTTGCTAATGTTTGTGGAAGATGTATTGGACCATGTAGAAGAACAGTAGAATAATTTACTGATAACAAGTGATGAAATGATGAGTTTGAGCGTTTCTTTATCAAAACTGTCTTTCACTCTGTTAATTTGACAAAGTTTTGCAGTACACGATGAGACAAGATTTTTATGTTCGTTGTACGATAAATGCGAATCTAGGGTAACTCCCAGATCTTTTGCACTGAACACAGGAATAATGTCTTTACCTAGGAATGAGAGAGTCATTGACGAAGGTAGTTCTTTTAACAACTGGGGTGTGCCAATAAGAAGAAACTTGGTTTTCTCTGGGTTGATCAATAAATGATTAGTCGAACACCATTTAGCTACAAGACAAAGGTCTTCTTCCAGATTCGCTTTGGTGGAAGTAGTGTCTTTAATCGGAAAGGATAGGAAAACCTTGGAGTCATCAACGTATGATTCAAGGGAGCTACTGCGTGGTGATAGTGGGAGATCATTCATGTATATGCAGAAGAGTAAGGGTGAAAGTATCGCTCCTTGTGGTACGCCGTGGGTGAGGTTAAGGGGAGAAGATGAAGTTGAACCAATACGTACTACTTGTGATCGTCCATTTAGGTAGCTACCAAACCATCTCAATGAGGGTTTAGACGCTCCGATGCGTTCCAATTTTTGAAGTAGGATATTGTGATTGACACTGTCAAATGCTTTAGACAAATCTAAAAGCACAAGTGCAGTTAACTTCTTATTATCCATCGCTTTCAAAATAGTGTCATTCACAAAAATAGACAGTGTTTCTGTGGAGAAGTGTTTCTTGTTGCCACTTTGGTGGGAGGACAAACGATTGTTTCTCGTTAAGTACGTGTTGAATTGACTGAGCACAATTTTCTCGCAGACTTTAGAAGCAACGGGTAGAAGCGAAAGAGGGCGATTGTTTGAAGCTTGCTCATGGTCACCATCTTTTAACAGAGGTATAACTTCAGCCTTTTTCCATGCTTTGGGATATGTAGATGTGTTGAGGGAACAATTGATTATGTCTGTTAGGGGACCTAAAATAACAGGTAACGAATCTTTAATGACCCGCATATTGATCTTATCGAGACCAGGAGATTTGTTGGAGGGCATAGATAGAATAATATTTTGTACTTCTGTGCAGGTAACAGGACGGAAATAGAACAGGTCGTCAGGGGAATTTACAGGTGGTGTGGATGGAAGGCTGGTGGTGGAAATGTTAATATTATTTTCCAAAGCTAGCCTGGTAGCTTCTTCAGCTGTTTTTCTCCCTACTGACGAAAAGAACTGGTTGAAATCGTCTGCTACCGATTTATGGTCTTTACCGTATGTTAGAGTGGGTCTCTCTTTGGATGGTATAACTTTATTAATAATTTTCCAAAGACAACCCGGTTTATCTTTGTGAGTTTGTACCTCATTACGGATGTAGTTTCTCTCTGCGTTTCTTAGTGTGGTTTTTACCGTTTGCCGAGCTTCCTTATAGATATGCCAGTCATTGTCGTCACGTGTAGTTTTGAAACGGCGAAGTATTCGGTCCCTGGTATTCATGAGATCTTTAATTTCAGTGGTGACATAGGGACAAGGACGGCTACGGATCTTGATACGCTTGACAGGAGCATGAGCTTCAAGGGTGGAAAGAAGAACACTGTTGAATGTTGCTAATTTCGAGTCAACATCAGGTTTAGTAAATATGGATAACAAGTTGCTAGAGTTGGAGGCCAGGGCAGCAGAGAACAACGAAGGGTCATAGTTTTTAAAACTGCGCACAGTGATGAAACGTGAAGGAGGCTTGGGTAGTCTCAACTTCAACGTGGCGAAGACGGGGAGGTGGTCACTTATCGCTGTGTCGATGACGCCACTGTCGCATACCAGGTCAGGGTTGGAAATGAGAATAACATCAATAAGTGACTGGCTGCGGTCTGTGATTCTGGTTGGTGTGGTAATAATTTGGGTTAGGTTTAATTCTATTGAAATATCAGTGAGCGCCTTGTTTTCAGGACATTCTTTTAGTGTATTACAGTTAAGATCACCGAGGATGATTATGGGTTTGTTCATTGATAGAGCTGTAATATAGCTGGGCTTTAGAAGAGACTGGAGACAGGTGAGTGGACAGTCGGGAGGACGGTACGTTGCACAAACCACGAGTGATTTTAACTTCTTATACTGAAGTTGTAGCCATAGTTGGTGGAAATTGCAGTCAGAAATATGCGAAATATCTTTCAAAATATTTGCCTTAATGTCATTCCGAATGTATAAGCAAACTCCCCCTCCTTTCTTATGTAAACGGTCGAGTCTGTGTAGTTTGTAGCCATCGATAGTTATCTCTTTGTTTGTTACAGTCGAGTTTAGCCAGGTTTCGGAGATGGTAAGCACATCTATATTCTCAGATTTAGCAAATTCTCTGACTTGAATGAGATGATCTGTGTTACGCAATGAACGAATGTTTACATGAACTATTTTAAGATTCGAACCGGGATTAGAATGGCGTCTTGTTGAAATGTGAGAAACTGTTGATGTTGAAGCATCTATATTACGCGAATCCGTGTCGGCAGAGTCTGAAACTGATGTAGTTTCTGGAGTTGCAATCTTTATACAAGGAGTTTGCTGCTCGGTTGAGTTATGACTAACAATAGAGTCGCAATTCTACAGAATATGTGAACGGAGGTCTGTAGCTGGTTGAGATATGCAAATTCGTCGACCATACACGGGATGAATATTAATTACATTATTGTTAATGTTATTAGCAATTTTTCGTTGTTTAACTTGTCCCACTACGTAAGGTTTCAGGATTTCAAAATAACGAAGGAGAGAATATGTATGTTCGTCGATGTATTTGGCCAACTGAGAGAATCGAAGACTACGTATAAATGTAGGCGACCGTGACGACGCTCCGACGGTGATTAAATTTTCCGTTCCAAAATTGATCCTTTTTGATGTTTCAGGACCAGGATTTGGTGATACGTCAACACATATGGTCAGATCAACCTTAAAAGGTTTCGAAGGAAGTGCTAAACAAATAGATCCATGTTTAGACGGTTTATTCACTGCAAATGGAACTTTGAATTTCGAATCATATTTTGTTCGGTGAATATTGACATGCTGTCTGAAAAAAGTCGATTCGTATGTCGTTGAAATCGCACCATCCTCATTCAATCCATAACACTCTTTGTAGATATTACTCTTAACAATACTTGTAAACAATCTAAATGCCAAAAACTGACTTGAGAAGTTCAAAAATATTAAAAAAATGACGAGCTTAAAAACTAAGTTGGCAGCCATTTTGGCGCACTAATGCCAATTCAAAATGACAAGAAATTTCGGGAACAATATATATCCGAGCGATTTACCATGCAACAACTGAAGGACAAGGTAACACCAATTAGGCAGAAAGCTGCCCGGGATGCAAAAAGTTTCTGCCTGTAAATATGCACATATAGAGTTGACATTTAAAGGTTAGGTATAAGGTTTTTGGTGTTAACGTTAAAGTTGTACATTATTAAAGTTTGTACATTACAAAATATTATATGTTCATTAGGGCTATCAAAATTCTTTGGATATTATTTTGGGGCACCCCCTACACCTAGTGTCTGTCCCTGAACAAAATGGCTACTTATTGGTGCAGTTACTCTCTCTTTTTTTTTCTAAAAATGTTCTGGGACTAGTGGTCCACTATTTTTTCCACCTTTGGCTGACATTGGGAATTTGTCGCATTACTTATTATTCACATTGCACACATGTTTCCTTATGTGAATAGCACACATGTTTCCTTATCTGAATAGCACACAGTAATGTTAAAATGGATGAAGGAGATACTGTAACATGGTATTTAAGGTTGTTCATCAAGCCAATAGATCAAAATTGACATGTACAAGCATCAAAATGTTACGATATTTGATAGCATAGAAGATTTGAGAAAGTTTTTTCTGGAAAATTTTCGCGAGGAACTTTCCACACCCACTGACACAAACTCATTTCGTCTTGGCTACATAGCCTACAAAAATCAACGGTTCACCATCAGCAACGCTTCCCACCCATCCTTTGTTTATATTACAATAAATATGTTATTGTGTTATATGTCCTGTTAAATATATTTGAGCTAAAAATTTCAAAGATGTACAAAAGCACTGTGTTTTGGCTTGCATACTTCATTACTGTTCTCAATTTCATGTTCTTAAATTTTGTAATCTGATTTCAAACTCAGATCGGGATTGAGCAGCTGTATCAATAAATGTGTTTTTAAATAATGTAAATTAATTGAAATTTTTATTAATCTTATCAACATAATCAAATAATTCGAACAGGTGTACCTTCATGTTTAGCTCGCTACTCTGGTTTAAATTAAACCAGAGTAGCGAGCAAAACATGATTGATATACCTGGTTGCAGTGAACGAACAAACTTTATAGGTGTACCTTCATCGTTTGAATTGAGCAATCGTCTTCATTTTGGACCCTTATATGACGTTGGCTTGTCTTGGATCATTTCTGCCCATAAAATTATCCAACCATCATTTGCTGACATGTACGCATCGTCAAACTTGGAACTAGCCCTTCAGGTATCTGTTTGAAGTCTTGGCTAATAATAATTTGGGTATGACCAATACTGTTTTGCTTTACTGAGGCTTTGGCTATTAATTGATGAGCGAAGCGAATGTGCAAAGAATGGAATGTCAAAGCTTCTAGGGTGTTGCGAATTGAGTGGTGGGCAAGGCAAGCTTTGTCTATTTGGTATATTGTCCAAGTGCAAGACTGCACTAAAAATTTCAGCTTGTCATGACTGCACATACCGGTGAATTACACACAACCTGTGGCAAATAGTTGTCAAATGTCTTCTTAGCGCTGGCGAAATTTGCCGTTCGCCGGCCTAAAACAAGATGGGTGATGGGAAGGTGAGAAAATAGGATTTTTCTGAGCCAGCATATTAAAAGGAAAATTGGATTTTTCACAGCAAGAGAATAGGAAATGTTAATTATGAAGATGAATCTTTGTTATTTGTTCTCCAAAAGTACTTTGGATATGACAACCAAAGAAAAGCAATAGAAACTGTCATGTCAAATAGAGATTGTATAATTACCATGTCAACTGGATCAAGAAAAGCTGTATGCTACACAATACCAACTATAATTTCTGGCGGTACTTCAGTAGTGGTAAGTCCTTTGTTGTAGGGACACACACATTATGCTTAAAAAATTTCCTATTATACTTATGCTTAGTGCTCCTGACTTTGCCTATTATGCTCAAAGTTTTCCCCTATTATGCTGATAATTATGCTACCTCATATTCAATCAAGATTCAAGATCAAGATTTAACATAAATTTAGGTATGGTAACTTCATTAACGCTTGTTATACTGTAACATAACAGAGGTCTCAACAAGCTGCTGGCCTGCAGCCGTTTGGTGAATATGCTTATTATGTAATTAGTGCTAATTACCTTGGCAAAATGACATAATACCGAAACTTTTGCCTATTATGTTCGCTTTCTGAAAATTTTGCCTATTATGCTCAATCTCAAATAAGCTCCCTATTATGCTAAAAGAAATGCCGACATGTATGCCCTACTTTGTTGTCATTGATTTACAATCAGGTCAAGTCCTTGAGGGAAGAAGGGATCAGTGGAACACATAATGTTACCTCACAAATGGCACCAACTGAAAGAAATACAATATTGCATTTGTTCTCAAACCAAAGCCAGATTTTCAGCTTTTATATTGCACACTTGAACCCTTATCTCTTCTTATCTTATATAACAGTAACCTTGCACAAAATCACAAAATGGTTAACAATAAAACTCTGTTAAATGTGATTATACATTATGCACATTAGGTGTTCCCTTGGTTTGTTTTACAGCTACACTCACTGATTATGTTGTATCATCAGTCACACAGAGCCTTAAGCTATAGCAAACCCCATCATTAAGAAAGCACCATGTGAGAGATTTAATTTTTGCATGCATGGGGTTCAGAAGACTGGCAATCATCCACACAATATTGCAAAAGTAATATTAAGTAATTTCCCAGATCAGTCCAGAATAGTTTACTGTACTTCAAGAGAACAAACACAAAATATGGCATATGAACTTGCAACTGCAGGAGTACAAACATCATTCTATCATGCTAGATTAGATTGGGTCCGCTACTTTTTATCCTCTATATTCAAAACTGTAGTGCTATGGGGCATTCCATTTAATATCTACACCCCTGTTGAGGAGATTTTCCGATTTGAATTTCTGAATTCCCATGTGGGTGCCAAGTTTGAAATTTCCGAGGGGTGTCACAAAAGGACAATTTCTGAAGGGTACTACCTGTTGAGAAAAATTTCCCGAAGGGGTCAAGAAATAAATTCCCGATAATTTCCGAGGGGGAAAGGAATTTCTTGAAAATTTCCGAGGGGGAAGAAAAATTGATAATTGCCAAGGGAGTGAAGAAAAACATAAGATGCATTAGTCAATATACAAGACCAAATGCATTAGTCAATATACAAGACCAAATGCATTAGTCAATATACAATTAAGATGGGTTCTGTGGCTTTCACTATCTATTTATTGAATAAGAGTTGCATTGTGCATGATCATCCTGCTACAAATTCGTGTTGCCGTGGGTTAATTTGCTGCAAAACATCGGATGTTTGATGTTCTTGGAAGATATAATACTATTATGCGTAAGGAGGCAGGCAGTAGGCTAAATGCGCTTTTATTACCTTTTCTGTGGACGCTATTCACATTAATACACACATTACAAAATACATATTCCTAAGAATAGTGTTCTATAACCCCACATTTTAAGTGAACCCTGACTTAGATACGATTTAGCAAGGTTCCGACAATAAGCACTTAAAAAAAAATAAATTTTAATTAAAAAAAAACAAAGAAAAACTAAAATTTATTTAAAACCAAAGTAAACACGCACGTTTGCGTATAAAACGTTTCCGGCATCGACCAATAAAGCAACGCATGAAAACATTTCCAAAATGAACCACTTGAAACAATATGCTGCCGCTATTTATCATAATATGCAGACACTATGCTATTCGTGATAGTATAATTTTACATATTTGTGAGAACATCATCCTGTAAACTCTTATTCAGTTCAAAAGTCAACCCACGGTCCCACATCACAGAAAATGATGCCTACAAATGCAATGACTTAGAATATAGCTTAACACGATTTGGCAGGGCTCATATATTAAGGCACTATTTCATGCTATAATTAATAAAATTACTCAAATCGTTGCTTTTATATTAAAGCAAAGCAAAGTTTTAAGTCGACCGCTTCCGGCCACGAGTAACAAGCGAGGAAAATTTGTGTTAATACTAACAAGACTAATGGGCTTACAAATTATCATCAATTCCGTTAGTCTTGATTTTGCTGCATATAATTTCATGTAGAGAAAATGTTGTGCTGATAATGGTGCATATTACTGTCTTGTAATACTGACATGGAGATATTTGATTTTAAAATATAATAATTTAAATTAAGCTAATAGACCATGGGCCGTTGGCCAAAATGATTTAGCTTCGTGGCAACCCCCTGGGGAATAGATTTTATGTGGTTCAGTGCATAAGTACCATAGATACTCAATTACCACAAAAAGCTCCCAAGCAAAAAACTTGCCAAACACCGGGGAAATGGGTGATATCCTCTATTAAATTGTATTACGGCAAGAAAATGTGAAATTTTGTATTCAATGACAACAAAAATGACTTGCATCATCAGAAAGCTTACAAAAAACTGCATATAAGGCTTTTAAACAGTGTTTTGATCGTTCAAATAGTCTTTGAGTTATTGCTGTTTTAAAAATATGAAAATTGACCAAAATGTCGCAATATGGACTGGGTACGAGGTAAAAAATGCGTTTTGACAGCGTATAACTCGCAAACAATTTGAGATATAAAAAAACTGTTTAAATGTCTTATATGTAGATTGTTGTAAGCTTTCTGATGATGCAAGTAATTTTTGTTGTAATTGAATACAAAATTTCACATTTTCTTGCTGTAATACAATTTAAATATAGGTTATCATATAAGGGATGAGGTGATATCAGTTTTATCGCTCGACGGATATATCACAATTGTCACGAGCGAGCGAGGGACAATTGTGATATCATCCCGAGAGCGATAAAACTGATATCACCGAATCCCGAGTATGATAATCTACTTATTATATACTTGTACCTTTATCAGGGTTTGACACCCAAAAGTAAACAGTTTTGAAAAAATAGGATCATTTTAGAATTCAAAAAAAATCATAATTTACTGAACAAATATGATTTTAGAAAACAAATAGACCATTCATATAAATAATATACAATTTAAGTCTTTCGTTTTGTTTTATCGTTCTTGTTTCCTTCGATAAAACTGTCAACATCAACCAACACAAACCTTGAGTTGGCCATCTTTGTTTTGACAAGGCGCGAAATTTAGCGGGACAAAAAAGATATCTGGGACAAAAAACGATATCCGGGACGATATCGTTTTTATGTCCCGCTGCTTCCTACCTGATAAAGGTACAAGTATGTGATAATAGAGGATAATCACTGATCACCCATTTTCTCGGTGTTGGGCAAGTTTTTTGCTTGGGAACTTTTTGTGGTAATTGGCAATTAGCATCTACCAGTACTATGCATTGAACCACAGAAAATCTATTCCCCAGGGGGTTGCCACGGAATTGCTTTTCTAAGCACTTTTTCGCACAACGGCCTATAAGAAGATCCGCATTATTTTAAAATAACTCATCTTGAAATGAACGACAAACGCGCTCGATACTGTTAGAGTGTTAGGTATAGAAATATGGCAGTATAGTATGATGCAGTGAATACAATGCATGACTTGGAAATACAAACATTTTGTAAAAGTGCCATGCAAGTGTTAAATATCTGTCAACAACCTATCCCAACCCTAATGAGATAACAAATTTACAAACCACACGCTAATATTCTGTTTTCACAACAATATAATATAACATGAATCATAAAATACATATTCCTACAAATAGCGTTCGATTTGGCAGGGCTTCAGGCAGTAAGAGCTATTTCATGCTTTAAAATAAAGTCATTGAAGTCGCTGCTTTTAAAGTGGGCAAACCAAAGTTAATTAACACAAGTCGACCGCTTCCGGCCACAAGTCGCGAGCGAGGAAAATTTGATCTGATAAACACAGTGCGGATGCGGAGGAACGATTCAACGAATAAGAAAACTTTAAAGTTTAAAATATGAAGTAGCTAAATCAACTCGAATAGTTTTACTAAATTTTATTTGACATGTCAATCACTTGTTGATTGGGAAATGTCAGTATTTTCTTTGATAGGTTTATCGAGCATTGTTCTTCTGTTTATTAATGCCTTTGTTAGTGCATCTTGGGCATGTCTTAGTTCTGTATACGCACCATGAAATAGAGCTTTCCTTTCTTCAAGTTCTTCTCGCAGTCTTTTTCGTTCGTCGATGGTGATCGATGTGACCTTATTTTTTTCTTTGCAGCTTTCAAGTTCTTTATATTTATTCAAAATGTTCTGATGGGCACGTTCCACTCGGCTCATGTTGTTCATAATAGTTTTGTATTTTTGTTTTCCAATTCCTCTTTCCAATGTGGCATTGTCATCATGTGCAAATAGGTCATGCTCGTCCAGTTCTAGTTTTCTAGCATCATCCACAAGAATCGATATTTTTCTGAGGCACCAAGCTGTATCGATTAACCTGTGTATCTCGGTTTTCGACAGATTAGCAGTTTCAGAACGAGTGCATAATAATTCCGCTTTCTCGTTCCAAAACTGCCTTCTCATTTTTTCAAGTCCAGTCTGGCTTTTAATCTCCTGGTTATTGAAAATTTTCATCCCCTTCATCTTTGCTTGCCGGAATTCAATATTGAACAATTTTGATGGATATGTGAGGTGGCTGTCGCTTAATTGCCTCTGCTTATCTTCTAACAAATATATAATATGAGAATATAAAGAATATCAAAACAGATTTGGCATTTATCTTTAAGAATAATGATTATGGATATTTAGAAAATTACTAATAATTTCGTTTTTCAGTAATTGGTCACGGAGTATAAGCAAAAATTGTTGTATTACATGATGCATACTGCAATATAGCAGTTAGCATGCAGTTTATCTGAAGGCTAGACACGAAAGTTTACCAGTTTTTAAGAACCAGTATATTGTCAATGCAGCAAATTGTTCTTACTTCACTGGTTGTTTTATGCCAGTTTACTCAGTCCTACTTACTTCAATGATAATTCACTGATCTGCATGCAGCATGTATTTATTTCATTCATAAAGGTTTTTTCTACTGCCGAAGTTTCATAACTATACAGGCCACTTACCATCAATTTTTTTCTTTTTGAGTTCACTACCCAACACCTCTTCCATTACAGATTTTTTTCATTTGTTGCTGTCTCTGTGTGCAGTAGAACAACTAGTATCAACTTGTTGCGAAATGGTTGTACGTGAGCAGTTTCCTCAAGTTGTTGAAGACAATCTCCGTCAGGCTTGCCTTCATCCGAACTTTCAGTGGTGCATGGTGTTGAAGTGAACATATCAAATCCATGATCTATCCAACTTTTATACCCACCTACCGAAGTTTCTGAAGTACTATCGTCAGCATCAAACGTTTCAGAAATAGGAAAGACAACAGATTCCACATCAGAGAAGGGAACAGGTGTGGTCGGCAGCGAGCTAGCAACTGATAACGAAACAGATGTTGTAACAAGTGAGGCAACAGGCGATGGAATAGGAGATGCAACGGGTTTCCATTCTGCTCCAATTATAAGTATCGGGGTGTTGTCATATAATGCCAAGCATTCGTCATCATCAATTTCGGTACCATCTGCTTCGTCGAATACACTGCAACCTGCTGGATCAGTAATCCCCAATTTTACCCTACCTAAAATAAATTTGAAACAAAGGTCTTTTTCTAAATTATTATGATTATTATTAATTATTCCGAATGATCATACATTCGTGAGCACTGAACAACAAGTGTTATGGAATTATGAACACGCGGCAATAGTTACTTACTGACTAGTCCTAATATATACAGTTACAATATATTACTTTATTAAAATTTTTAACGTACAAGTTAGTACTAAATAAACTTAGTTTAAAAGTTCGCCGTTACAAACTATAATAAGTGTTTTATCAGATATGAAGTGACATGAATGTTCATTTATACTATAGACGATTAATTCAACAAGTATGATCAGTATAGATACAGATAATGATTGTTGCTTGGTTAATTTGGTTAGTAAGAATAGTTATATAATATTTACTCATTATCAATGACTAACTTGAATGTTAAGTTTTGCTTTGATTTTGTTAAGGCCAAATAAAAAAAAAACTTGGTTAGTGTCACACTCTCACAAATTTTCAGGGGCGGGCGGGTTTTTTTTACTAGTTTTAAAATTTTTTATTAGTATTTTTTGGGGGGATGGGGGCGGTTTTTCCACCATATCGGTGATATTTTTTGTAATGATGTTGCGAAGGCCGCCATTTTGCTATAAGAACCTTGTATACCCAAGACCACACGCTCCAGCGATCAGTATATAGCGCGGTCTGAGCATGTGGTATTTACCTTTCTCAATCAAGCTTCTGATGTTAACTGCCTTCTTCACTGTTTAGATCCATGTTCCAAACTTTAAATAATCCAGACATCTTTCTAACACCGTGTCTTGGTATGCTTGTCAGGCTTCACTAGCTTTACTCTTCCTTTGTGTTTTACAAAAAATAGTCAATAACCCAAAGCAATGAATGCGCTTTTTTATTCTTACCTTGTGTGACGTAAAACTGTAGGTTAATCTGTGGTCAACCATGCTGCGTCAGTGCGTGCGGAAGTTTTTATGCATAATATGCGTCAGGCAATTCGGCTAGGACAGTAATAGTGAGAGTTTGGCATATTTTGAAATGTTGGGAGATTTCTGCATATAAAGTTTATACTCGAAATTTCCATCTACAAAGTCCTTTTACAATTAGTTCTAGAAAGATGTGCAATAAAAATTCTGAAGATGCCCAAAATTCTTAAGTCTAAAGCAACCGGAAATTGACACTCATGGGCATGGAACAAATGGATAAAAAATTATATCATCAGGTCGGAAATTGCTCAGTTAATTAGTAGTTGTCGTCAGTTCCGATCCTATCGTTATGTAGCAGAATTTGACAGTCGAATGTGGGTGGTGTGTATCAATATCGAATCTGCTATGTGCCTGTAGTTTCAATAGAACGTTTACCATTTTATGATTCCATATGATCGTTGTGATGATCGTTGTGATGATCGTTGTGATGATGTTTGATTTAGACGAGTTAATGGTAAATTTAGGGCAAAGATAATTTCAAGGATTCATTAAATATCATAACACATGTATACAACACAAAATGCATCATATGCATCTAAACTACACAAATCTCTATGACTATGTTCATGCAGCATTCTCCTACACCACAGGCATCAACATTTGGAAAGCCCTTAATATTACTTTACCAAAAATATTAGATTTTATCTGTAATACTTTTTTAAATAGTAATCTAGCAAGAATCAAATAGTAATCTAGCATGCGGTCATTCTGGTCTACTTGAGAAGTTTCATGTCAAGTATCTCGCAAATTTTCGCTAGTATAATAATTGGGTAAAACGATGCGAAACGTTCAGACAATGTGCAAAAATGTTTTGGAAAAGGTTCGGTGGGAAGCAAATAAGTTTGTCATTTCCCGTTGTTAGCCAAAGTTCCTATCGAAATACGTAAGTATCGTCAGCAAAATGTGCAATGTGGTTGCCGAACCTATAGCCACACCTATGTCCGTTGCGAGAAACATAGGTTTTTAGATTAACACTAAATTCCGGTTTGTTTTCGCTCATATAAGCAGTGAACCTGGCTTGTAAACTTCATTCTGCTATTAGTCTTTTATGAGGAAGCAATACTTAGTTGTTTTTGTGCTGTTTATTGGCCAAATTTCTATCCCCGTTATATAAGAATATACTGACCTTTATTCTACCTTGACTTGAAAGAAGAGACTGTATTAGTAAAGTTAAAGAATTTTGCATTTGCAAACCAAAGTAAGTACATAGATAATAAATTGTTTTTAATTGCGTTAGTAATAATTGCATGAAATGTTTCACATAAAAGTGACGTTTTAGACTAATTTGCGCTATTTCATGCATGATCGAAGTTCTATTCAGGTTGTGTTTGTTCGTCTGCGTGCGCATACATGCATATGAATATAATGAATTCTTGTAAGAGTAACTGAATACTGATAAGTCAAGGAAACATTTCGATTTCAAAATACCGCAAAAATTTGGGTTCAGTGTATCCTATCGCTATTAATTATATTTGCATGTCTATTATCATTTATCAGGTATATTAGTGTTAATTAGTATTACTAGTGATTTTGCTTGTTATATGTCTATCACAGTTTCTCTAAAGTGGAAAAGATATAGATAGTTGTTTTACTAATTTACTTATTGTATTATCGAACCGATTCTATGCATAACATAAGACTCTAAAATGACAATGTATAACGAAGATAAAGACCACACTAGACTGACTAAAGTTTTTTTCTAGGCAAATTTCTCGAAAAATTTTCTCTATCGGCATTGCAGCTACAGTATATGTATTATTAACGCCAACAGATTATCCTCGACAAATGTCAAGTGTCCTCTCCAGGGGGTTGGAAGTTGTCCAACGACGGTCAGAAAACATGATTATCCACTTCATTCAAAATATCAAAATGAGCATCAATAATTTTTCCTTCGGTACATTTCACGTGTGTATGTATCACTGTTATGTATACGCATGATTACACCTGTGTGGTGCCATGTTTAGTGACAATTTCTAGCAAATTGCTTATCTGTTGTTAAGGTTAATCAGATGATGAATATCTGATAAAACAAAATATTTGAACATTTAACAAGCTACCACGGACATATTTCTTTCCCGGCACATGCTTTCGATAATCTTTTACCAAAAGAATATAAGAAGGAAGCGCCATATATCATTTTATTATATATCATTTTTAAAATCGTATATCATTTTTATTATTTTATTATTTTGTTGTTGTGACATGAGGTAATGCTGCGGACAAAGGAAAAATCGCCCACATGCAAACAAACAGGGACTTTATAGATTTTTCTGGCTCGAATCGACGACAATAATGTAAAAATACATTCACTGGAATGTAAAATGCATAGTAAAATGTTTGAAATGAATGTGTCATCAACTGTCGGAAATAGAGTATTACTTATCGCGAACTACGTCATTGGCATGCATATAATCGTGTTTGTGTTAAAAGGTGGGGGAGTGTGTGCATAGTTTTATCTAGTGAGATTGTGAGCCAGGATCGATATACTTGTGTGAATATAAATTTGTTTTATATTTTTTAAATTGTGTGTGTGAATTTGTGATTTTGTGGGATGGTCCAATTTGTGATTTTGTGGGACCGAACCTGCCATTCCCCACATCAATTGCTGTTTTCAATCTGACATTGTGAATTTGTGATGAAGCAACTGACATGGAATTTCTTGATCAACACACCAATTAAATTTTGTTTTGGAATGAAATATTTTTGGTTATGGTTAAAATATTTCATTCGTGTGATATCGATCTCGCACACAAAAAAACATGGGCCAGTTGTATATAAAAAGGTAGTTAACGTTAACTACACTTTACAGTTATAGTGTGAACGTTAACCAATCAAAATAGTTTGATCTAGGGTTAAATGCTATTTAGCTAAAACAGAAATATAGTGGTTATTGAAAAGTAGTTCATTAGAGTTTTAGTATACAAACGACCCTTGTGGCCGGGCTGTCCATAACATGATTATTGCGGTTAACACTGATTTAGGCCAGCTCTGCTTTGGTTCGCGTGTTTCTGCACGGAAATTGCTAGATAGTATACTTCAAAATAAGGTTTCCGTTTTTATATCAATTTTTTAAATAAGTTAGGGTTAGGTTAGGGTTATGGTTAGGTTAGGGTTGGGGTTAGGGTTAAGTTTAATATTAGGGTTAGAGTTTAGTTTTGCGTTAGGATGGTTTTTTTCTACGTTATAAAAACGGAAATCTTATTTTGAAGTATACTATCTAGCAATTACCGTTTCTGCACTTTCCGTTTAATTTTAAACTTCAGTGTTGATCCCCGCAAAATTTCTGGGAAAATGTTTTAAAATTTATCAAGTTGTTGGGAGGTTTGGTTTGAATTGTTATACGCTAACCTGTATATAGCCATACCGCATATAGGATTCCGATCAACTCAGAACCGACGACTGCGTTTAGGACTTGGCCGGCAAAGATCTAAATGTCATGTCATTGCTTAATTTAACAATAAAACTGGTTATTTCATACATTTGATATAAAACATAGTGTCATTAAATGTATCCAGTACCTCATAATATTGTTATGAGTTTTCTCATCACGATTACTAAATTAGCGTAACATGCTTAATTAAGCGTAATGACATATTGCAAAATCTTAAATATGTATTATTTAATACATGTTTTACAATTGTAGTTTTTACATAATGGCTTTCATTAATGATCTGGAGATTGCAAAGTTGCAGGATACTCTGACAACAAGGAAAGCTGCACATGAGATTATCGAAAATTTTTTGCCGATGCTGCGTAATTCCTTTAGCAACATCCCACACTCTGATGCATACAACAGGCGTGCAGGTCGTGTTGCAGCCAGTCTACTCCCAGAGGGATTTGAATGTTGGACTCCACTGTCTTGTAGGGCTGACGGAAACTGTCTTTCATTCTGCTTCAATACTCTTAATCGGGAATGAAAGTTTATCTGGTATTTTGCGTTTGTTGACCGTTGCTGAACTGTTCGCTCATTCCAATTTTTGCGCTGATCATTGGCAAATAATTCCATTTTCACAAGCTTCTGGTTATTCAAAAGGAGCGATTTTTAATATCCTTCTAAGTTGATGATTTAGCAGCAGAAGCGTACGCTGGAAATTTAAATAATGCGTCACGTGCCATCGAAGTTCTGGCTAAAGAAACTGCAAAACCATATGTGTTTTCCAGTCAGTTTCACATCTTTGCACTTGCATCTGTAATTGGTCGACCAATATTTTCTGTATATCCAGACATTCCTGACAGCATCGCAATTGAGAAGGCCTTGCATGGTGTATGTAATCCAAGACAACGTTTTCAGGAAGATGACTCTCTCGGCACAGGGGATCCAGTTCACATCATGTGGACAAGGGTAACACATTCCCAATTACAAGGCTGGAGACCAAATCACTTCACACCCATAGTACCTTTTTCGACGTATACAGACAGCTCAAGCTTTGCCAAAGTCGTTAAAATTGGAACGAAACGGATGCAACATTTCGCATTCGCGAAAGGCGACAAAAGCCAACGAGAACCAACTGAGAAGAAACAACTTAAAGTTTCAATGAAAACGTTTCGTAATGAACAGCTGCAATACCCAATAAGTTACAATAAGCAGCAGCAGCAATCTACAATTCCTAATAAACTGCAGCAGCAACCACCAGCAGCAAAACAACAGCAGCAGCAGCAAAAACAACAACAGCAAGAGCAGCAGCAGCAGCAACAACAACAACATCACCACCAACAACAACAACAGCAGGCAACATTTTCTAATAAACAACGGCAAGATTTATCAATTCGTAGTGAACTGCAGCAACCAGGATCCATTTCTAATGAACAGCAGCAACAGCCAACTTTATCTAACGAAAAGCATCAAGAGACAACAGTGTCCGCATCAACCATTAAAATCTTCCAACAAACAGAGGGGAACGTTCACAATAAAAGACAATCCATCTGATAAATTTAGCGTGTTTTCAAGGCCAAACCAAATGAAAAAGAAACGGAATCCAAAAAAACGATCATTACCTGCAAACAATGAATCAACAACAAGAAAATATCGTCTTTCTTTAACACGAAAAGTAATGACGTGATCATTGAACGTATGCGTACAACTGCAGCAACAAAATCCACTAACAAGAAGGTTGAACTCTTCCCGTTATTGGGACCAGGTATTGAGTGGTACAGGAAAAAGGAGTGATCGCTGTTAAGAACATTTCAAGATCTGAAATACAATTAGACAGTGCCTCTAATGAAAAACATTTGAAATATGTTGCGTTAGGTTCGGTGACAGGAAAACTAAAAGAAAATATAGACAAACTTTTACAAAAACTTAGTGATGCAGGGTCTGAAAAGCAGCAGCAACAACATTTAGAGGCAATGATCACATTAGCGAATTTTATAATTGAGGATGGTCCGATGGTTGAAACCCAACATCTTGCAGCTAAATACAAAGCTATCAAAGAAAGTGCTGCAAAGCGCATTAGCTCTAAACACTTAAACGTTGCCCAAATATACATCAATGGTAAAGCCTATATTTTGGAAAATCCCGGCAAAGAAATGCTTGATCTTTTAGCATGCATCAAGAACATTAACAACATTGATGATGTGCGGAGCATAATAAAGGCAAAAGTAGATGAAGTCATTGGTGATGATGATAGGGTCATATGCAAATATCTGGACACCAAACGTGACAGAGATACTTTAAAAGCCATTCTTACAAAACTAACAAGTTCGACATTTATGGCTAAGTTGGCAAATGTGCAAGATAAACATAGTTTCCAGCATGCAAAAGATCAAGTTAGTATGAACATCCAACTTTTTAAAGGAATGAAGAATGAGGTTGATGAGTGTCGATTTAGTTGGCGAAGCCGGAAGAGAGAAGAAGTATCGACTTTCGAAGGAAGAGGAAGAATGCTAAAATGTGAAAAGTTTCCAGATTTGGCAGCCATTATGGAGTATTCATTTGGTGAATCGGATCACATCAAAACAGGTGGCGGTGGCTTGGAAAGTCATCCCAGACTGACACCATTTTATATCGTGCTGCAGACAGCAATACGATCATGCGAGATGCACGAGAAACTATTTTGGCATTGGCACCAAAGGAATTTAACATTAGCCTATCTTCCTGTTTTAATTACACACAAAATTATAAAGAAGGCACATATCAAGCAAAACGTCATCACTCCGGAAAAGGGATAAATGCATGTATTTCACTTCATAAACCTCCGCGTATCGGCGTTGAGAAATTTGTTGGCAACCTTCGGTGGGCAACCAGTAATGTTAATCTGTCAATGGATTTTGCCCATTTACATTCTACTAACGTTATGATTGACTCCAAAGATGCAAAGGCCAAGGTTCAATCAGATGTTTCACCCGTTCAGAAACCTGGGAAAACATGGCGGAAAATTACTCTTCCAGATCATGATTGGAATGCAGTAGCCCATAACAGTATTACACCAATGATGCATTTATTCATGGAGACAGAGTTGCATTTAGAGGATGCAACCAAAGAAGAAGATCACTACACTGTAAAAAGAAGTGGTTCAGCAGCTATTTTATTAAATTTGTCTTACTTCGAGCCAGAAACTGTCCAGAGAGATTGGATCAATACTTCCGCAATCCTGAATCAGGCAAATTAAAGGAACATTTTATTTATGTAGTTGATAATGGTTCTTCTGAAGCACCCTCTCATCCAATGGTCAAAATGTGGTTGGCACGTATGGCTAATGTTCTAGAGTTGAAGTCATTAACCCAGAAGTCGTTTGCAGAGTATCACAGTAAACGAAATCCAGTGGAACGAGTTCACGCTGTCGAGAACCGCGCCTTATCCAATGAGGTTTTTACAAGTACTGGTGTACACAAAGAATATGAGAAAGACGATCAGCAGCATTTGGAAAACATGGAATTTGTGGCAAATGAAGTTGGAAAATCTTTACAGAATGCTTGATATGGTGGGAAGCCACTATCTTTGCAGCGTGGTATTGGTGATGAAGATAACTTTGTTTTTGATGGCGAGAAACAACTTTTGACCTTTCTTGGTCGTAGTGAGAGACTAAAGAATGAAGATAACGAACACTACTTCCCTAAGCAAAACAAACTTTGGCAGGACGTTGCGTTAATTTGGGATTTGAACGTAGATTTTGTTGGATGCTACCGACAAGATTACCAAAGGCTCAAAAAATACGTTCGATGAAGGAGAGCAAACCTGTTTGGCAAATAAATATTCGACAATAATTTTAAATCCAGATCTCGAAGAAGACTATAAAAAATTACTATGTTAGTTAGGTGGTACAAGACAGGTGGTGAACTTCATTATATTCCTTTAGAAAAAATGAAGAATTTAGATACAGATGTCATTGATGCCACACCAGGAGCATTTATTCCATCAAATATTCTTGATATCGCTTCAAACTTTTTAAACATGATGTGGACAGAATAACACCCGGTGTAGCATTCCTTAGTTGATAAATCATACAAAAATGATAAAGAAAGGGAATACTGGAGGCATCAAGACTTGTATAAGACAAAGGACAAAGCATTATTGATACGTCAATGCAAAGAATTCAAAATTTCATCCGAGGGGAAGAAACACCAAATTGTGCAGCGACTTGTCGAAACGTTGAAGCTTCCTTTACCTCCACCACTAGAGATTTACGATGGGGACATCAACTCACTTCCATCATCGATTACCGAGTTGTCACAAATGCCTATATTTAAGTTGCGAGAAATTCTTCGCTATCATAATGTTCTCGACTGTGACACAAAGGATGAGTTGGCCATAAGGGTCGGCATGGTTATTTCGGGAACTGCTAGTCTTGCTTTCAAAAGGGAAGTTTTTGCAATTAAAAATTTAGTAACAGCAACTAGATCACTGATACAACGACAGAAGAGAATGTACATTCTGGATCCAAAAATAATATCCAAACAAAGAATGTTCACCACGCCTTCAAGCCCAACGATAAGCACCTCACGCCCTAGGGATAGTGCCTCTGTTTTCAGCAAGAAAACAAAGGCATTCATTCCACTACCGCCTGATTTAAGTATAGAGACCCTCGACGATATACTAAAACCTATTTACCAAGAGGCTTCATTGTATGAAGACATTTGATTTATTTAAAACAAGTATTTATGACTAAGTATTTATATTCCATTTACAGGTTGGTACAGAGCGAAGGTACTAGAATATGACAGGGCAACAGATGTTGTTAAACTGGAGTTCGATGTTGAAGAAGATGTAAATTACAATTATGTTGTTAAGGACGAAGTGAAAGCCAGCAGATTAAAACTTGCAAAAGACACTCAACGGATGGTCGATGATTATGAAAATATCTTTCAAATCAGAGCAGTTGTTGAAGTTAGCTGGTCAAAGGATGACGTTGTCGAAACCGATTTATTACCTGGTATGTTAAATATGATTAAAGTTTAAACTTTAACACTTAACTCATAACCGACAATGCATAGTCATGCTTCCATGTTCTTGTTGAGATGTGGTGGGTATACGTATCAACATTGTTGAGATTATTTGGAGCAGAATATAAGTAGTGGAGTTATTTAAAGAACTCACACTGAAACCATAAGATGCAGCACGAAATGAATGGATACAGAATTAAAAAAAATTAAATAGGGACATATATATGACTGTGTCTTTGTACAGAAAAAACGTCAGTGTGCAAGTGCACCCAAATTTAAGTTCAATTGATAAACTGCTCGTTAAGTGATGGCATAAATTATATAGAGGGAAAATATCATAACAATTAACATTTTCTTGTTTAGGTTGGCACGAGGCAGAAGTACAATCGTTTGATAGAGATGAAGATGAAAATGATATTGTACTTTCCAACCGAAATTAATATCCAGCCGATTACGTGTCAAAAAGAAGCTATTTTGATAAATATATATATATATATAATCTCATTTTCTGTTTGGTGCATGGACCTCTGTATGAAGATATTTTATTTAGCTTTCGTCTCCAGTTTGTTACATGGACCTCTGTATGAAGATGTTTTATTGAACTTTCATCTTCTGTTTGCTACATGGACCTCTGTATGAAGATATTTTATTGAATTTTCGTCTCCAGCTTGCTACATGGACATCTGTATCAAGATATTTTATTGAACTTTCATCTTCTGTTTGCTGCATGGACCTCTGTATGAAGATATTTTATTGAACTTTTGTCTCCAGTTTGCCATATGGACTCTGTATCAAGATATTTTATTGAACTTTCGTCTCCAGTTTGCTCCATGGACTCTGTATCAAGATATTTTATTGAACTTTCGTCTCCAGTTTGCTACATGGACCTCTGTATGAAGATATTTTATTGAACTTTCGTCTCCAGTGTGCTGCATGGACCTCTGTATCAAGATATTTTATTGAACTTTCATCTTCTGTTTGCTGCATGGACCTCTGTATGAAGATATTTTATTGAACTTTTGTCTCCAGTTTGCCATATGGACTCTGTATCAAGATATTTTATTGAACTTTCGTCTCCAGTTTGCTCCATGGACTCTGTATCAAGATATTTTATTGAACTTTCGTCTCCAGTTTGCTACATGGACCTCTGTATGAAGATATTTTATTGAACTTTCGTCTCCAGTGTGCTGCATGGACCTCTGTATCAAGATATTTTATTGAACTTTCATCTTCTGTTTGCTGCATGGACCTCTGTATGAAGATATTTTATTGAACTTTTGTCTCCAGTTTGCCATATGGACTCTGTATCAAGATATTTTATTGAACTTTCGTCTCCAGTTTGCTCCATGGACTCTGTATCAAGATATTTTATTGAACTTTCGTCTCCAGTTTGCTACA